TATTCCTTGGCATGACAGTTTTCCCCTTTCCTTTTGGGTTTTACATGAGAGATTTCTTCGAGAGCTAATCAATCTCAGACAATAACCACCACTTCAAATCTTTACTTGAGGGTTACATCAGAAACGTCGGAAATCTCTCGTCAGATATTAAGAATGATAACACTTTCAAATGAAAAGGAATGTTCTGGCCAAGCCAGTCATGTTTCCTCCTCTGAATTTCCTCCTATCATCAGAATCCAGAATCACAAGAATGGTGCTAGTTACTAGGATGATAAATCCTTCCCTGTTAATACACTGGATGAAAGAAAAGGTATACCATGCCTCAAATTGCCAACCAATAGATAAAAGATAGAATGGCCAACACTGTGAAAACCAAGCAGAAACGGAAAGCAAACGCCAGTTAATACACTATTTCAACTACTACTCGAGGCAGAAGCATTGGGTCGACGGAGCACAGAAATTTGGAGACACCTAGCATCCCCGTTTCAATGGATCTGGGGATGTGGATGCATAAGATGGCCCAACGGCCTCAATCATAATAACAACATCCTCACCACAAAGAAATGCACGAGGGAGAAAAGGCTTGACGATGCTGTGTAATTTAAACAAAACAGTTTTCTCATACGCTAGCAGAAGAATGTATGCTAAGAACTGCATTTGAAATAAATCAGCCAGCTGCTGGGATGTGTACCCAGGCATTCTCTTCGTTTACACTTGCAAGTTTTTAACACATTTCCATTTAAGGACGAACAAACAAGAAGACATTAGGAAGTACCATGAACAATAAAGTAGTGAATTTAAACGCCACGGGAAAAGGGCTCCATGTTACCAGAGCGTCCCGCATAAAACTGCCACATCTTTCTCAAGACTCAACGACGTTATTTAGAGGAGAGGATTCAAACATCAAATAGAGTGTCTATGCTGTCTATGTGCATGTGCGAGTTTAGCAAAATTGGTTCGAAATAAAAAATACCACCTTGGCTTGTCTGCACCAAAGCAATAAATAAGAGCAGAAAGCATTGAAAACATCTCTTAAAAAACTGATTAAAAGAACAAGGAAGAAAGAACGAGAAAAGGAAATGAAATAGTCATACTGCTCCACAAAAACTATTTAAACAGCTATTCTCATCAAAATTATCCTTGAAACATAACAAAATTGCCCAGATAAAATCATCTTCTAGTACTTCAAATTGAATTGAAGATATTGGGGATAACATCCATTTTGTATACAGTAAACACATACATTATGAAAGTGCTGTACATTCCACATTGACCTCTTATGTACTGGGCACTGGTAGCTTTCATCAACGAATTGAAGCGACAAGGGAGATGTCTATCCTAAAACTATCCAAAAATATTCTAGAAAATATCACAGATATGCATCTGACCTGAAGAGAAAATCATATTTAACTGGGAAGTGAATATCATACACCTCTAAAAAGTTAACAAATCAGCTTTTATTAATCAAAGATATATGATGTGGCAGGAAAGATGAAATGAAAGAACAAGCCAGGTGTAGTGGCTCAAAACAGATCATGCGAAGATACCTCCAATGAAAAAGGGTCTGAGAACTGATTGCATTTTCGGTATACAAACTGCCATGATTGCCCTGATGCTCATTGTTAAGAGCGGGTAAGGGGCAATGTTTCATAGTCAGAGTTGGAAAGATGTTAATACAGAGCAATGAAGTTAGTCTATGGGAAGTAAATGCGACTCAAAGCAGGTCATCAGTTGTTAGGAATTAGAAATTTGATGGCGATGGATCTCGTGAAGAAGCAGAGCTCTGGCCCTATTGACAGCATTAAAACAAAGGCATATATGCTCCTCGAGATCCTTGAGCTGTTCAATGAATTTGAGATGGTTTTTTTTAAGCTGTTTCAAAACCTCTGAAATGGGATGCAAGTCCTTACCGCTCTCCAATCCAATCCGAATAAGATGCTTATCACACTCGACTGCATCATACAAACGAGCAACACGCCGTTCAAGGGTCGCAAGTTGATTGTTCAGCACATATGTACCCCTAGAAGCAGAATCAAGTTGCTCGACACGGGCAAGCTCTTCCTTAGTCAAGCTGCGAGGGAGACACGGCAGTGTGCATATCGGGGTGGCAGCAATGGCAACAAGTGCATGACTTGCGATTCCCACAGCAGATACTACAACAGCAACAACAGAGCCAATGACGCAAAGGGCAGAACCAAAAGTGGCTCGGCGAACTAGGTGGATTCTAGAGCGTGACTTGCGGATTCGCTGTTCTAGTTGCTGCTTCAGTTGCGAAAAGCATTGCTGCATATCATTGAAGTTATGCGATTCGGGGCAAGGGAAAGGGTTGTCAACGCAATCAAATTGGAGAAAGACATCAAAGGCACAATCGCATTGTGATTGAGACAGGGATTCTGAGTCAGTAGGAATAACATCCAGAAGTTTATGAAGAGGACCATAAAGAGCACGGGCACGATAAACACTCTGTTGGAGAAGAATGCAGAGTTGGCTGGTGTTTTCGCTGTTGTCAAAGTAGGTGGATACAAGTCGAGTGAGAGTGTTAGGCTTGGCGTCACGAAGAGCTTCTTTCACACATTCTCGATTTGGTTGAAGAACTTGAGTCATAAGCAAGCGGTTAGCATCCTCCTCATTGTAATGACCATGAATTTCTTCAATTTGAGTTTCGTCATAATGAATCCTGG